CAGAGGCGGCGCTTACAGGGGCAAGACGAGGCCTGGCTGACTCATGTTTTGACAGCGAACTTGTGCGGTTGGTCAGCTGTCTCGCCTGATCCGTCAGCTGCTTGCCTTTTCTCGTTTTATACTATCGGCCTTCCATTTATACAGCTGCAGGTGGAATTACCGAATATTTTTTACGTGTTTACTTGACGTTTTGGTGTAATTCGTCCGTTGCTAGAAGCTAGGGTTGGGATCTTTAGCTGTAGGGTTGTTGGGTGGGGACGCGTGTGTTTCTTAAAGAGTCGTTTGGGTTTTTTCTGTTTTTTTTTTTTTTTTTTTTTTTTTTTTATAAGGTGTTTCTCGTTTCCTTGGCCTAAGATGTGATTTTTTTTATTGTGGTACTTATATTTTATTAATCTATTTATTCTTTTATTTTTTTATTTTATTTTTTTATTATTTTTTTATTTTTTTTTTTTTTGTGGGGGGTACCTTGGTTTCATTCGTTCCTGTCAATTAGTATATTAGTCTTCCACTTCCCTTCCCCCATATTTACCTCCTCGCACTTTTCTCTATTTCCTATTCGCTCCCCATTTCTCCTCTTCTCTCCCCATGATTTGTCCTCATTCGCATTCCCCTTCTTACAATTCCCTGTCCATTTTGCTATCCTTTCTATCCTCAACTATTCAAGAATTCTTTTCTATTTACTTTCTTCTACCCTCCCCCCCCCCTCCATCTTCCCTACTACCATTTCTGCTTCCCCTACTTCTCCTACTCTCCCCCCTCCCCCCTTTACATTCCCGTTCGCTCCAATTCTTCTTTCCTTCACTCCTTCCTATTTTCCCCTCTTTCCTCCTACACCAATTACCCCCCCCCCCTTCTTTGCTTTCCTTCAGTTTTCCTATTTTTCCTCCTCTGGTTCCCTCTTCCTTTTCTTCATATTTTTCCTTCTCTCCTTCCATTTTTCCTCCTTTTCATTTCCTCTTTTCCTCCTCCTCTATGCTTTTCTTCCTTCCCCTTCCCCCCTCACCACATTCTCTCTTCTTCCCCCTTTTTTCCTTTCTTCCCCTCTTCCTTCCTTCCTCTCCTCCCCATCCTCCGCTCCCCATATCCTATCTTCCTCCCTTTCCTTCCCTCCCCATATCCCCTCTTCACCCCTCCCCCTTTCCCTCCCCATCTCCCCCTTCCCCACCCTCCCCTTCCTCCCCACCCCACCTCCAGCCTTCCCCTCCCTCCCCACCCTCCCCATACCCCACCTTCCCCTTCCCTCTTTCCCTCCCCACTTCTTTCCCTCCCCATATCCCCCTTCCTCCCCTTCCCTCTTTCCCTCCCCTTCCCTCTTTCCCTCCCCACTTCTTTCCCTCCCCTTCCTCCCCACCCTCCCCTTCCCTCTTTTCCTCACCCCCCCCTTCCTCCCCACCCTCCCCTCCCGACGGCAGACAATGCCTCCCTTCTCCCCATCAAGAATGGCCCGCTATCTTCCCCCGACTTGGCACGCTCCCGAATTTGATATTCATTTTAAGATACATCGACGCGGCACCGGGGACCCAACCCACGGCGAGAATGGCGAACGACTTTGAGCCTTATTCTTCCCGTCACCTAAGGGTCAAAATCCCATAAATCTTGGCCTCGGTGCGATAGCAGGCAAGATCGAGAGGAGCAATGTTGTTCTCATTATGCAGATATGGAGAGTATTTTGCCCTCGGTTTGAATAATGGCAATTAAGAATCACAGGGGGGGGGGATAACCTTGGCTGTTGTTACTTAATACCCTGCAGACGTCATGAATGTTTTTTTTTTTCCTTTTGTTTTGTATTTTCCTTCCGTCTCTTCTTCTATTTCTTTTTCTTCTTCTTCTTCGTCTTCTTTTGTTTTTCTTTTTTTTTGTCTCGTAAATCACGTGACGTAGAAATAGTACTTGAATTATAGGCCAAATCATTTGTCTTTTAAGTTTATTATTATATCTATTTTTATCGTAATTGTAAATCATCATATTGGATGCTGAAATATATATAGTATACTATAATTATTATGTATACCTCTAAGATTTTTTTTGTTTCTCTCTCTTTCCATCTCTTCTTTTTTCTCTCTTTTTTTATCAAATGGTGGAACCGTAGATAAGAAACGGTCCTTTAATCATGGTCTATAATTTAATTTTTCTTTTGCCTTTCTTCCATCTTCCTGTCTTCGTTGTAAATCAAAACTTGCATATTACACTTTCTTCATTGTCTTTTACTTTAAAAGGTATACATTTATCATCATGAATCTTTTGTTTTTTTTTGTCTTACTTTTTTAGCATTAAACACACACACACACACACACATATATGTATAAGAGTGTAAATCTGTGAAAATCATTATAAAGAAAATTAGTTTTTTTTCTTCTGTATTTTAGTAAAAATAGACAGACAACTTCCATAATTCCGTACGTAGTATAAGAATACATATATATATACATATATATATACATATATATATACATATATATATACATATATATATACATATATATATACATATATATATACATATATATATACATATATATATACATATATATATACATATATATATACATATATATATACATATATATATACATATATATATATATATTATATATATATATATATATTATATATATATATATAATATATATATATATAATATAT